ATTCAGGGACATCCACTGGCGCGCTTTCTGAATTTACTCTGTGTGTAAAATGTAGGAAACATGCTCTAAACATGTTTACATGTTATTTACATGTTCCGCACATGGTTAACACATGTTTCACACATCTGGGAATTATGTTTGCAACATGCTTCCTCTCCATTGATCGTCCTCCACAAGCCTATCTGGCCACGACTCGGCTCTCGTGGTGGATGCACGAGACGTGCCGGGCACCCCCGGAAAAGCTCTCGACGAGGCTTGGCGCGTGAAGGCCGGCCGTGGCCCCGAAAAACGCTTGAGAGCACTGTTGTGGATGCCACGACACTGGACACCCTAACAGTCCTAGCATTGAATTCACTCTGCGCTACATTCTTGACAACTGAAAAAACAATTTGGCAACATGCTTCCTCTCCATTGATCGTCCTCCACAATAACACTGGAGAGCTGTCTAGGACGATCCCCCCCTCAGCGTCTCGCCCCCGACAGTTCTCTCTGAGCCTTTTCCCCCTGGCGTCGGATGGTGCCTGTTTCCGGGTCCCAGCCCGCGTCGCAGATTGGCCGTGACCCCACCCACCCGCGGCGCACTCGGCAAAACGCAGCCGTTAAAGCGCATCCCGAGGCTGGAAAAAGGCCTAGGAACCTACGAGCACGTCCGCGAACCTCGAGTCTCGAACCTATCCCCCCCTGTCTGGATCACCGCGCAGGTTGCCAAGGGGAAAGGGGGTCCAGGTGGATGCCAAACTGGGTCGTGTCTGGCCGTCAACCCAGCTGATAAATGAGTTCAAATTGACCAAATGGCTTAAAAAGGTATGGCGACTCTGCAAAGTGGGCTCCACCCATCTCGCCCAGGATTGTGACCCCCGTGAGCTGCTTAGGGCACTTGCAGCCCACTTCTAGGACGGGTTGGGTAGGACAGATATAACCCACCTCGGCATCCGCTTAGAGGGTCTCTACCCATTTTTCCCTTGGCAGCCTGAGCGTGGTTCTTTAGAATCTCGCCCGCTCGCAAAGAAAGGCCCTGGGCAGGCGTGACCCTTCGTGCGCGCGGCTCCGGGGGGCCGCGGGGGGGCCAGATCCGAACGCGCAGGCCAGTGCTGGAGGGGCCCCCTGTGGGCCCGCACCGAGGGTCACTCCGACGAAGTGCACCCCTGTGTTGGAGGCCTCCTGGATGGGGTCGGAGTAGATGGGGCCGGAGGATCGCGCCGCATCGTCGATACATCGCCGATGCCTCGCCGATACATCGGCGATGCATCGGCAACGCCAGCGTGAAGAAAATCAGGCTCCAGATCCTCGGACCCCGTCTACACGTCGTTCATTTCTAATCGTGCTCATTTCTAAGTGTGCTCGTTTCTAATCGTTCCTGGCCCCCCAGAGGCCAGGAAAAGGCCCAGGATAGAACAGTTAGAAATGAAAGGACCTTGGCCCCCCAAACAAATCAAAGCACCTTCGAAGAGTGGGAAGTGCACAGTGTGTGCTCACACTCCCTCTGGGATCCGGGAGGCCCAGACCCGTGCCGTCGAGTGCCCCTGCCCCCGAGGACGCGGAGGAGCTCCACCTCCCAGGGGCCCGGGGTGCGTGCCCGTGGCCGCCCCGGCGCCCGCCTCCCAGGCGTCGGGCCCGGGCGAGGTGGCGGCCGCGGCCTTCGCGTCGGGTAGCCACTTGCCTGGCCGGGCCCGGACCACTTGGAGAGCCGATCTTTGCGGTCGCGGTCGGCAGCAACCGATCGGCAGCCCAAATCGGTCGCGACCGAGCTCGGCCGATTCCAGGGCCACCCGAGGCCAGTCGCGACCGGTCGCGATCGATCTTTCGCGACCGATTTTGAAGCAAATCGGTCGCGACCCATACCAGAAGTGGAAGCCAAATCGCGAGCGACCGATCTCGTGAGTGGCGACTGACAAAAATAGGATGTTCAATGGTCAGTGGAAGGGGAAAGGCGGAAGGATGGGGAGGATCGAGAGCGGAGGGACCCTGAGATCCTGGCGTCGCGTCGCAAATTTTCGGCACACGGTGGTGTCGCCGCGTTTTGGGCCCCAGGGCCCTTGGACCCTCGCGGATCGATCCGGCTCGAGCAAAATGTCGCGCAAAAATGGGGTCGGTCTGGGGTCCATGGCCCGGTCGCGATGTCCTACGATGTCTTTGTTCGTGACGTCGGATCTCAGGCCAGAAGGATGCAGAGAGGTGGATGGAAATACGAAGAAAGGCGAGGAAGCACGAGGGAGGGGGGAGGATGCGCAGGGAGGTGGACGGGTAGAGGAGGATGCAGGAGGTGAGGAAGGAGGGGGAGGCAGGAGGAAGGGGGGGGACGAAGGATGGGGGAGGAAGCAGGAGGGGTGCACAAATAACGAGGCGGGGTGGGGGAAAAATAGATCGAGCGTCGCCAAGACGACCACAGCCTCGGTAGCATTGCCCACATCTGCCCCTGCTGCCAACAAGTCTGGGTCCTTCTGGGCACCGCACATGCATACGACAAGGCATGCGGGCCTTCGCCCGCGTCACAGTGTGCACATCGTGTAGAACGCCTGCGGCTCGCGACCCTGCCCCGCGGGATGTCAACAAAACCGTGCGCGGTGCCCTGCATGGCCCCGTTGCTGCCCCCGCGCTGCGACGCCAGGCCGCCGCACTGCGACCGGCGGTGGGCCCGCCCGCGCACGCGCGCGCGCCGAGGCGCCGCAGCGGCCGAGGCCAGCCCCTGCCCGCGCCCCGGATCCGCCCCCCGTGGCGCCGCGACCAAGGGCATGGTTGCCGCGCGGACACGAGCGCGAAGGCCGCTGCGGGCGCCCTTTGGGCGGGCGGTGAAGGGGGTGACCGCGTTGGGGGGTGGAGAAAATGGCCCTGAAGGGGCCCTTCTCTTCACCCCCACATGTAGCTCCACCCCCCATTGCCACCCGCCCGAGCCAGACCCCACCAATAGGCTAGAGGGTTCCTAGGCAGGGTCCGCATAGATGGGGCTGGAGGATCGCGCCAGATCGCCGATGCATCGGCGATACATCGAGGATGCATCGGCGACGTCGGCAAAGCATCGGCCACGTCGGCTTGAAGGCAATCTGACTACCTACCAGACCACCCCAACCCAACCCGAAGACCCGAATTTGACCCGAATTTGGGGTTGGGGGGGGGTACGGGCACCATGTGTTTTTTCAACGTTCCCCGACCCCCCCCCCACTGGAAATGGAGGGCAAATTGAGGCCTTCGGGTTGGGTTGGGGTGGTTTGGTAGGTGGTGACAATCGAGCTCCACATCCAGCCGCATCGCCGATGCATCGGCGATGCGGCGCGATCCTACGGCCCCATCTGATCGGACGCCATCGAGGAGGCCTAGATCGACTCAGTCCTGGACCTTCGGGAGCTACGCGATGCGTTGCGCAGCTAGGCGTGCCAACGCCGCTGCGCTGCCCCCCGTCGCGCGGCACCTCGCCGAGCAGCAGCGCCGCCCAGCGGCGGGCTTGTTCAAGATCGTGGGCCTCCCGGGCGGGGCCGGTGGGCGCGACACCCTCGCAGATTTTCTTCGGGAGAAGCTCGCGGAAGACGTGCCAGGGCCGCGCGCGCCTCGGCGCGGGCGCGTCGAGTCGGAATCCCTCGCGGGGCCCCAGGCACAAAACCTGCTGGCTCGCAACGCATCGGGATCTACCTACATTGGGCACCCAGGTTATCTGGGATGGACCTGGTAGGGCCCTGTTTGGTGTCCCCACATGTGATACGGATGAGCCCTGACACCGCGAAACGGGAGGCGACTCCGGCGCGAAAACGGGAGGCCCGAGTCAGGAGCTATCCCCTGACCACCCCCTTGTCCTGACAACTCGGGGCCCTGAGTCTGGCCGAAGAGGTCCGACCTGGCCATACTTTCTCACGACGCGGGCGCCTCGGCTCTCGGTAGCCCACGCCCATCGGGGCAGGTCTTTGGGTCGAGGCGTCTCTGGACAGCCCCGGGCGCCTAGAGCTGGCTAACGCAGGCAGCCCGCAACAGTCGGCCCAGGAGCTCGGCACATGTGTATATATATATATAGATACAAATATAAACACGTGTACGTATGACACTAAATATGTACACGCCCTGGCCTCCCCAGCCGTGGGATGCTGGAACGTCTGTGCCCGAACTCCTTCGCCGAGTTCCTCGGCTCCTTTGCTGGCCAGACGGCGTGGTGCACACATCCAGCCCCTCCGAAGGGGAAGCGGAGCGGAGGGCGGGGCGCGGGGGGGTGGCCAGTGGCGCAGGCCTGGAACCCATCCCCTCAGGGTCTTGATCAAACATGCCGCGGCCGCCGTCAGCCGAGTTCGCTGGGAGACGACACGCGAGAGGACACAAGACATCTCCGAGGGCTGCGCTGCCGAGGAGCGAAAAGGACATGGGGCGCGAAGCAGCTCTTTGTCGCGGCGACTTGGGCCCGGGACGCGGTCGGGGCAGCCGAGGGGCGCTGCGGGGCCAAACTTGGCACAACCGGAGCAAGAGAGGCGCAGCGGGCACCGCGGGCGTCGGAGCACGCTCGGACCTTGGCATTCCTGTGCGTGTGTGCCAGAGCGCAGGCTTGCACGGGCGGCAAGAGGGCACCCATGATTTCTGATTGGTAAATCTTCCACCACCGCTACCAGATGCAGGACGGAGGAGAAGGGAGCATGAGGAGGTCCTCCTCCTCCTCCTCTTTCTTCTCCTCCTCCTCCTCCTTCTCCTCCTCCACCTCCTCCTCCTCCCTCTCCTGCCTATGGTAGTGTTGTGGATGCCACGACAATGTACACCCTAACATCCTATCGTCGAATTAAAAAGGTGATGTCGGAAAAATGTTCAGAAAATGTTTGAAACATGTTTTTACGCTGTTCAAATAGTTTAAGCACATGTTCTAGGCATCTGGAATTTAGTTGGCCACATGCTTCCTCTCCATTGATCGCCCTCCACAATGGTAGTGGTGGTGGAAAATTGGCCTATCAATTTTGAAGGCTCAACCTCCTAACCCGACTCGACTCTACTCGCCACGGCCGTTTCGGCGCGCCGTCGCGGTGCGGCTGGTCCGCCGAAGACTGCCAGGAAGCTCGCCCAGATGACCGGCGGGGGGGGCAGCTGGTGGCTGGGCATGTGCGGGGGCACCACGCGGTCGAGGAAGCGCGGCACCACCTCGGTGCTGGGGGCCGCGCTGGCAGTCGGGCGTGGCCGCCCGTGTCGAAACTGTATCGAGGAGGAGCAGCATCGGAGGAGCATTGGGGGAGAGGAGAAGCAGGACGATGGTTGGTGAGCGGTCGTTCCTCCCAAGCTCCTCTCTCTCCGGCTTGCCCTCCTCAACCCTCCTCCTTCTCGCCCTCCATGTGCGTCATCGTCCACGTTTCGCCCTCGCTTTCTCAGCCTCCTGTCCTCCATCCCTTTCCCTGATAGGTAACTCCTCCTGGTCTGACCGCCCGCCATGTGAGTAAGGCGGGCCGCGCGTTTCACCTGAGACCTCCTCCCTGTCTGCAACCCCGAATCTTGAAAGTCCCATATATATATATATATATATATATATATACACGGATGGCAGGGGGATGGAAATGTGGCTCTCGCCTTGGTGCCACACTCATTCGTCTCAAAGGCTTGCACCAGTTCCACGGATGGACAGGTGGTCGTTTTCAAAAGGTGGGTCTCGTTACAGCGTCGTGCGCGTTCGCCTCAAAAGCTTTCGTCGGCTATACGGATGGAAGGGTGCTCGCCTTAGCGTCGGGTGCATCCGTCGGGGAAAATACCCGACAGCCACACGGATGTGAGGGGGCTCCGTTTCAAGATGTATCTCTCGCCCTAGCGTCGGCAACGATCGTCTGGAAAGCTTCCGGCAATTACACGGATGGAGGGCGGCTCCTTGTTTAAGATGCGGCTCTCGCCTTAACGTCGGGCACTTGCGTCCTAAAACTTCCAACATTTCTACCAATGGAGGGGCGCTGTGGTCCGACGCGTGGCTCTGGCATGAGAGCCGCACGCGCTCGTTCTAAACCTTCCTCGGGATTCCACGGACGGAGGCCAGTCCCTTTTCAAGCATGTGATAATCCAGTAGGGGGAAACATTTACTGAACACTCCCCCTCCCCGCCAAACTCAATGTTGGCACGCGCGAGGGAGACTGCGGTCGACGGGCATCTCATCAGACCAACCGCCAACTTTGAACATTGGGGGGAGGGGGAGGCGTTGACGGATGAATGTGGCATGAGTGTTCGCCTATTTGGTCCGAGGCCTGTCGCCTTAGCGTCGGGCACTTTCGTCTTGACATCTTCCACGAGTTACACAGATGGGGGGATCGGTTTCCAAACCTTGCCCCACGCTTGTCTTAAACGGTTCAAGCTGCTAAACGGGTGTAGGGGTGGTGGGTTCAAACTGAGGCTCTCGCCTTAGCGTCGCGAGCATTCGTCTTCAATGCTTCCAGCCAAACCACGGATTCGGGTAGGCTCCTTATCAAAATTAGGGTCTCGCATTCGCGTCGCGCGCATTCGCCAAAAACACTTCCAACAATTGCGCGGATGGAGGGTTGTTCTGTTTCAATCCGCGGCTCTCGCCTGAGGGCCGCGCACATTCGCATCAAGTACACTTCAAATGTTTCCAACAAGTACACGGATGGAGAACGGCTTCCTTTCAAAGTGGAACTTGCGCTAGAGATGCTTGTGGTCACAGAAATCCAAATGTGGAACGGCTACACGGATGGAGGGCGGCTTCATTTCAAATCGGAGATCTTACTTGAAACCTCCTCAGGTTGGTTGGCAAAATACGTATGGGGAGCAGTTGCGAGGATGTAGGGTGGCGTGCCGTCCTGAAACACTAACTTGTTAGCAGTGCCCTTCATGGACACACGATTGTTCGGAAAAGAAAGAGGGAGGCAAAGAGGACATAACGAGCCACCCGTCCTGATCCCCACACAATTCCACACACAAATGGAAGAAGCAAACCACATACACGACATTCCCTGTTCAGGACGAGGCGTTCGCCTGAGTTGCAAAACCAATGTGGCGATCGCTGTCCAAAGGGGGGCACTGCTCTTGAGCAAGGACCGACCGTCCCGGCATTCGTATAGACTTACCACGAAATGTGTTTAGAACCCCCCCCAACATGTTCGAATTACAACACACAGTGTTCTTAGAACATACACCCGGCGTGATACAACAAGACAAGCCCCGCCAGAAATGCTCTAAGAACATGTCGTGGTAACCACAAACAGTTGTTAGAACACTGTTCGGTAGGACTATAGGCGAGCCAAGACGCTTCGCCACTGCTTGATTATCGCAGTGAAGAGATAGTCTAGCAGGGGCCCATGAGGAGGGGACTTGGGACGGGTGGGCGTATTGCAGCATGGCTGATGCACCTCGGGCCCGCGCTGGTCTTGTTCGTGCTCATCCTGCCCTTCCTCATCGTATTCCTCTGTTCCTTTTTTCCTCTCCCTCCTCCCACCGCTCCTCCTCCTCCTCTTCCTCCGTTTCCTCCTCCTCCTCCTCCTCCTCCTCCTCCTCGCCAAACTCAATCAGGTCAGACAGGCCAGGGCCCACAAAACTAAAGTTCCCACGGCGGAAGGCAGGCTGGCTGGTCTCCACGAGGGCCGGGGTCGGAAGTCAGGCAAACCGAGCCCACATTCCAGCCAGCAGCGCGAGGCCGCTTGTCGCCTGCTGCAGCCTTGCGGTAGGGAGGCTCGGGTAATTAGTCCCGAAGCCAGCCGGGCAGTGGGGGGACCAAGAGTGCGTTTTTGGCCAGGACTCAGGACTCCGAGGCGAATCTGGCCGCTGTGAAGAAGGTTCCCCCGGAAGGCCCAAAAAAGGCGAAAGCGAGAAAGGGTGGTGGTACCATGTCCTCCTCCAAGGAAAAGCGGCGAATATGTTCGCGACGCGACTCTTGGACGGCCAACCACATGCCAACCCAACCCCCGAAGGTCAGAATCATGAAACACCGCATGGGATTCATGGTTTGAGACAGGTCTGCAGCCACGCGCATCCCAGCAAGGGTGTCCGATACCCCAAATGACACGGGTCCCGGCTCCGCACAAACGCGCCGCCAGGCAGTCCCGGCTAGCCTCAACACGCCCCCCGAGCAGTTGGTCCTGAGCGGCCCCAACAACCCAACCCTAGGGTACGGAGCGCCCCAGGATCGCCGCCGGAGCCGGCGCCAGAGTGTTGAGACCGCCCTGGTCTACTGGAGGAGCCTGTTGAGGCCAGGTGGGACTGCTCGGGAGACCTCGTGAAGCCCGCGGGGACTGCCCCCTCCTCCTCCTCCTCCTCCTCGTCCTCCCTCTCCTCCACGTCCTCCTCCACCTCCTCACCCTCCTCCTCCTCGTCCTCCTCCTCCACTTCCTCCTCCTCGCACGTGGCCACGCGCCACAGTCCCGTCTATCGGCCCGGGCCCGCGCGCGCGCAAGCTGTGCCCTCGCGAAGGGCATCGAAGAGTTAGCGGCCGAAACAGACAGGGGATCGGGCGGGTGAAACATGTGAGCACACGCGGGGACGGACAGTGAAACGCAGGTTGAAAGAAAGGTACCAACGCGGCAGATGGCACACGAATGGATGTCGCCGGAGAGAGCCTGCTGCAACAGGGCGGGGAAAAGAGGGCACTGCCTCCCAGTAGTGCTGAAAAGAATCAGAGGCTTGACAGCCGAGCATACACGTTAATCTACGGTTGTCATGGAACCTCAGCGAGGTAATCCAACTGCCAGACAGGGTAGTCAACACTCCACTGCCGAGAGGATCGCGCATCCTTTGAACGAGCGAGCGGACCTCTTCCAATTCCACAGAAGTCCAAGACTGAGGCGGACTCAGGAAACCACGAAGCAAGACGTCGGCCGAAGGTAGCACCCAGGTCGCCGGGGAAGAGTTCACTCTGGAAAACACGGACAATATGGGCTTGCAACTTCATGCGTTTTGGAGGTCGATGGGCTCTCAGAAGCGGCGGAGAAAAGCCCCTGGGCGACGTCCAGAGCGATCGATCCAGCCCGAGCGAGAGAGCTCGATGAAGGATAGCCAACAGCAGCCTGACCGCAGGGCTGACCCCAGAAGGCGGGGGAAGATCGGCCAGCACAAAGATTCAGAATCGGAAGGTGCTCTGCCGCAAACTCTCTGAGGTCATCTAAAATCGAAACATGTTCTGGAAACGCATGGATGGCGGCTCGCATCGAACGAGCAGCGCTCGTCGCCTGGATGCCGGTTAGTCGGGGTCCTCCCCATTGTCCGATATTGAACCAACAAGCGCGCGAAATAGCAGAATGCGGGACGTTGAAAAGAGACGCGAAGGTCGAGTGCTCGATGCGAGCAGTGGGAGCAGGCAGAGCGGGGGAGGCGTCAGGGAGAGAAGAGAATTGGGCAACGTGGGACAACGTGGACAAATCACGGCTAGAAGAGAGATGCTCAGTGATGGTGGACGGTGAGCCAACTTTGAAATCATAGCAAAACGGGAGGCCCATTTGATAAGCGGCTTGCCCCAGCGATCTGCGCTGACCGCCGGTCCAAGCATTGGCCCGAAATATTTCAACGACGCCGCGATCGGGAAACAACCCCTGTCGGGGAGACGATTTCGAAGCCGCATCCGGCACTTGGCAACGAGTGGCGGGGGGAGCTCCCGCGCCAAAGGGGCTAAAAAGCATTTGGCTCGCTTCAACTTGAGACAAACAAGGGCCTCGCGGCGGTCAAACGCGGCTTTTCAGATGATGTAGCTCACGAGTCGAGGGGACTGCCGCCCCGACGTCGTCCGCGCATGCTCTCGCCAAACTCAGGCATCGTTGCTCAATGACGGCCTGCGCTCGATATTGCGCCGCAGGCGGAGGCGCGTCGGCGCGTTGCTCAAGGCGGCGATGCAGATCGACCAGGAAGGGGTGACTGCCAATGGCGAACAGCGCCCCTGCGCCAGGGCAGCCCTGGACGATGCCGGCAAGGATGTCGGAGACATGCTCGCATACGACGTGGCGTAGCATCGGACGTTCGAGCAAAGATGCCCCACAAAGGCTAGCAGCGGCGCGGGGGCCCTGCACGCGGCGAGGGCCGCGAAGATCCACGCGCGTGCCACCGACGGGAAGGCTTGGCCATAGCCCAAGGAGAGTAGTGCTGGGGGCCAATGGGCGGCGTCAGGTAGCATAGACACCATGCGACTGCGAGCGTCCAGTTCTAAACTATCGAATTCGAAGTTACGG